CCTGGTCTTGTAACCATTGGAAAATATGACGGGACTCATCCCTGCATTACGGCTGCAACAACTACTGATAAGGTAAATTAAGGGAAACACCATGTTTTTGTATTTTTGTGGAATTAAATTAATTTTCTGTTAATATTTAAATGGCAATATCACATTACACATATTTTGGGTTTATATATTAATTACCACAAATATCTTAGTTTATTATTTTAATATTGAATATACAGGGTGAGTTTTAGTGCGACATCGGTCAATAATTCCATTGTGGTACAGATATCCAAAAAACTTTTTTCAATTTTTTAATTCCCTCTCTCCAGCTTCTTCTCGGCCTTCCTCTTTTCCTTCTCCCTTTTGGTGTCCACGTCAAAATTTGTTTCGGAATCCTGTCATCTTTCATTCTCTGTACATGGCCGTACCATATTAACTGTTTTGTTTTTATGTCATCAACTATTGTATGCATGACTCCCATCATTTCTCGTATTCTCTCATTTGGTATCCGATCTCTTCTTGATTTGCCTTCTGCTCTTCTAGAGAAGTCCATTTCTGTTGCTAGTAACAGTTTCTCTGTTCTTTGTTTTATTTGCCAAACTTCACTGCCACATGTGATTACACTTTTAAATATGGTGTTGTATATAAGTTGTTTGTTCGCTTTAGATATTGTTTGGTCCCACAGAATGCCGTTCATCGTGGATATGGCTTTTCTACTCTGTATGTTTCTGTCTTTTATAGCAGCATCGAGTGTTCCATCTTGAGTTATCTTCATACCCAAATACTTGTATTCATCACAGTGTCTAATTTCTACCCCATCATCTAATATAATGGACTGCTTTGTCCCTCCAATACACATGGCTTCAATTTTCTTAATGTTGACTTCGAGATCCCATTTGTTATATTCTTCTATTATCTTCCAAGTCATATAACTTAAGTCGTTATGATCCTGAGCAATCAGTATTTGGTCATCAGTGAAACATAAGGTGTACAGTGTAGTCTCGTCATTGAGAGGGATTCCCATGCCATTAGATTTACTTTTCCACAGCTTGAGTGCTTGTTCCAGATAAATTTTGAAAAGGGTAGGCGAAATACAGCAACCCTGCTCAAGTCCTTTCGTGACCTTAAATTCCTCAGATATCCTTGATCCAGTTTTAATTCTTTCCAATCGTTCCATTATACAGACTTTGGACTGCTTTGATAAGACCATGCTTAATGTAGGTTTGCTGTAGAGTTGACCTTAGTTTACTGAGGGGTACACTGTTTTGTAAGTCTACGTACACCAGGTGAACTTCTTTATTGACGCTGTTTTTTTCTCAATAACTTGCGTAATAGAGTACAAGTGCTCTACTGTGGATCGCCCAGCTCTAAAAACAGATTGCTCCTCTGCTTCGTAATCTCTATAGTCATTTTCAATTTTGTTTTTAATAAGTTTCCCATACATCCTACTTATTGTGCTGTTTACCGCAATTTCTTTGTAATTTTCACACTGATCCTTGCTGCCCTTTTTGTGGATAGTTGACATGATAGATAATATCCATTCTTTTGGTAATTCGGCCCCATTCAAGCAGTCTTGAAAGAGTTTTCTTAACTGTTCCTGAAGTTTGCCTGTACTGGCTTTCACTAATTCTGCAGGGAGCCACCAGGACTGGGGTATTTTCCATTTTTCAGGGATTTGGTTATTCCTTCCATCTCTGATTTACTTATTTGTAATTGTGATGAATTTATACGTATATCTATAGTGTTGTCTTCCATGTTAATAAATTCTGGTCTTTGTTTCTGGTAGTAATTTTTTGAAATATTCTTCCCATTTTTTCTGTTGTTATTGGTGATATAACGTCTTTTTTCTTATTATTTCTCATACTTTTAATCAATCTCCAACTCTCTGTGCTTCTTCTACCTCCTATGTAGGTGTTGATTTTTGGCAGTTCTGTTCCCATAATTCGTTCTTTTTTTGAGTTATCTTTTTTCTTACTTTGGCTTGTGCTTCTTTGTAAATTGTTTTATCGTTTTCTGTTTTTGTTGTTAAGAATGTTTGATATTTCCGACGTTTATCTCTAATTTCCTTCTCTATTTCTTCATCCCACCAGTACGGTTTTATTCCTTTATGGGTTTCGTCACATTTCCCCAGTGCTTCTTCTGCTGCTAAATGAATCGACCTTTTGATGTGTTCGTAGTGTTCTTCGGTATTTTCAAAACTACCCATTTCTAATTTTTGGTCTAATCGTTTTTTATACAGTAGCCTTACACTCTCATGGTTTAAACTGTCTAGGTTGTACCGTACTTGTTTTATTAATTGATTTGACTCGATGTGCTCTTTTTTTTTCGTATCTGTTTGGGCGTACCGTTTTAACTTTTAGCAGATGATGATCGGTGCCACATGATGGCCCTCTGGCTACTAGCACATCTTGTATTTTAATTGAAGTTGTATTAAAATTGTATACTTTTTACACATATCTATTTTACACACACATAAAATACAATTAAAATATGGGGAATTCTACAGGGTGATTAATCACTACGTGGTATAGCAAATATACAATTTTTTAAATGGGACACCCTATATATTTTTTTATATTTATATTTCTCTCATAATTCTTGTTCTATACTATATTGTTATTCTATAATATTGGTTTTGCATTGATATAAAGAGTATTTAACAAGTTATGACCATGTTTATTTCGAAATCCCTATGAAATAAACATCATGTATATAAAGAAGTAAGGCATTTAACAAATAAAATAAACAATATATTGTAGTTTTTAAATTAAGTTTAATTGTAATCATTGTGTAATATTAAGTCTCAAGTCTTCTTCTTCTTCTTTTTTATAAGCAAAATGCTTGTTCAATGTCGATTAATGCCTCTATTGGAGGTTATCACTCCATCTTTTGCGTGGTCGCCCGATACTTCTTCTACCTTTTGGTGATTTGTCCCTCGCTATTCTGACTAATCGTGTCTCTTCCATTCTGTTTATGTGTTCGTTCCATTCCTTTTTTCTGTTCAGTGTCCACTCATTTATTTCTGGTATATTGCATTTTCTTCTGATCTCCTCACTCCTCATTCGATCCCTGAGTGTGTTTCCTGTAATTCTCCTCAGTAAACGCATCTCCGCTGTTTCTAGTGGTTGCTGAGTTTTGGAGGTATCCGGTCTTGTCTCTGAAGTGTATGTCATTATTGGTCTTATTGTTGCTTTGTAGATTCTTGATTTCACGTCGGTATTAATGTGGGGATTGCGCCATATCGTGTTATTAAGATAACCTGCTATTTTATTAGCCTTTTGTACTTGATTTTTCACTTCCTTCTCCACATCTACGTAGCTAGACAGTGTAATTCCTAGATAATTTGTCTCCATTACTTGCTCAATGCTGATACCGTCGATTTCCAGTTTACATCTAATTGGTTCTTTACTGATTACAATTGTTTTAGTTTTCTGTGTAAAGATCACCATATTAAAGTCCTTTGCCCTTGTGTTGAATCTATGGGTTAGTCTTTGTAGATCGTCTTCGTTGGATGCAATTAGGGCCGCATCATCTGCATAGCAGAGTATTCTGATTTCTTTGTTCCCCATTTTGTATCCTCTTCCTTTATTAATAGTATTGATGATTTCATCCATGATTAGATTGAATAGCGTTGGACTAAGCGAGTCTCCTTGTCTAATTCCATTGCCCATATCTATTGGATCTGTAAGCTGGTCATCTATTCTGACTTCCATATTGTTGTTCTGGTAAATGTTCTCTATTGTTTTTATAACATCTAGTGGAATTTCTCTATCGTAAAGAAGGTGAATTACATCTTTAAGCTTTACTTTATCGAACGCTTTCTTCAGGTCTATTAGACATATGGTCTAATATGGTCTGTTATACTCTAGTGCTTTCTCGGTAATCTGTTTTATGATGAATACTGCATCTGTGCAGTAAGTCTCAAGTAAATGTTTAAAATGTTTACCTTCAGCGTCTATACAAGTCTGTAACCGATATTTAAATGACCGAGCCACATTTGTGCGTAAATTTTATTAAAAGCTTCTCTTATTCTATTTTCCACATCATCTGGCGTTGTTGGAGGCTTCTGGTATACAAAGTCTTTTATATAGCCCCACATGAACAAATCAATTTTGGAGAATTCTGGTGATCGCGGTGGCCTAACAGTTGGTCCTCCTCTGCCTATTCACCTCTCAGGAAAGTTATTTATCTCATTATTTAGATGATTGTGAAACAGGAGCACATCGATTATTGCTACCACTTCATTTTATAAGTCTAGTGTTAAAGAAAGAAAGTCCAGAAAAGGATCTACTGCCTTGATTACGGGTACACCATACAAAGATGCCTTAGAAAGGAGTTTGTCAGAACAGAAGAGAAATAAAAGTATTTCAAAAGGAATTCCGAAATTAAAAATAGACAAATATGAGCCCTTAATAAAAATAAAGAAAAATCTATTGCTAAGAAGACAATGACAACCAAGGTTAAAAGGAAAAGTAAAAAGAGGTAACATTAAGCAGACGAGGAATCGTTAATTGAGCTCTTTAAAAGACCTCCTCGTTCGCCCGATTTGATTCATAAAGATTATTTTTATTATGGATACTTGAAAAGTAGAATTTATAAAACTAAACCAGCAAGTCTTGCAGAGCTAAGTCAAATGAATATCGATGAATCCATACTAATTTGCAGAGAAACAGAAATCTAATAGACGCATCTACCATCGTTTAGGATGCTGTCAAATTAACAAGGGAAGACATTTTAAACACTTATTTTGATAAATATTAATTTAGCAATGTAGTTAATTTTTAATTAATATGTTAAAATTAAGTTGTACATAGTTTTAATAAAAAACAGTAGACGATTATGCGTTTCTAGGCTTCCAGACTTTTGGTCCACCCTTTATATTGCACGTGCAATTTCATAATCACCTTCATTCTGGTACTGTTTCTAACGTTTCTAACTTCTTACTTTTCAACGGGCTCAATTTGTTACATTTAATTAATGTAATGCCATATTTCACATAATATTTATTTTAGGTTTTGATTCATAGCCCTCATAGAAGAAATAATTCTACAACTGGAAGAGTGTTTTGGTCAGAATCTAATAAGGAAATTGCTAACCTAAATATTAACCAGACAATCACTTGTCTAACGGTTGGCGTGATTCTACCTGATGATGAAAAAGATATATTACTAATAGGTAATCTGGTATTTATTTTGGGTTTGCTTGAAACGTAATTTATGTCTTAAATACACACTATTCTTTTAAAAACTTAATTGTAGGTACTAGCACACATATCTTAGCATACCATGTCCATGACAACAAAGACGTATTATATAAAGAATGTCCTGATGGAGTCAAATCTATTGCTGTAGGATCTTTTAAAGATATGAAAAATGTCATAATGGTGGGAGGAAATTCTTCGATACATGGTTACAATAATCAAGGGACCGAAATATTCTGGACAGCTGTAGGAGATATTGCAACCTCCCTTATTTTTATGGATTATAATCAAGACGGTCAGAATGAGGTATTAAAATTAAAGTATTTTATAACATTTTACCACCAAGTGTAAGTTTGCAAGAACGGAAATTTTTGACTGGTTTTAATTTGAGACGAGGTATATCTGTTCATAATTTAAATTAATAATTTTAACAGAAATAATAAAGGATTCTTGATACATGTTAAGACTTTAACATACATATCAAAAAACCAAAGGTAAATTACTTTCCTTTGGTTTTTGATACTTTCAACACTTTCAACTTTGACCATAAATTTTCTATTGGATTTAGATCGGGACTATTTCCGGGCCAAGGCAAGAAACTAACCACAGTTTCTGAACCATTCCATGGAAGTCTTAGCTGTTTGACAAGGCGCTCCATCCTGCAGGAAGATACATTGTTGGGCATCCCCTTCAAACAAATCTCTGATAGTCGGCAGCAGTTTAGCTTGCAGTGTCTCTTCCTGAGATATTTTTTGCAGTAATATTGCCCTCTACTACTGCTATAGGTCCAACTCCATTAGCTGTCATGCCAAAGCCTAATCAATGCGTTTTTGGCTCTGTTTTTTGTTCAGGAACAGCTTCTTTCTAAGAGTTCGTGCTCTCAATCCATTTCCACACAACTTTCTGCATAATTTCTTTTGTGGATCTGCTACGATCTTCTAAAGAAAGTCAGCATATTCTACGCACATGTTATTGACTAACTTTCGGTTTTCTGCCTGTTGTTTTTGCTGATTTTCTCGTACCAGTGTTATGGTTACGTTTAAAAACTTTCATAACACCTGACTTTGTGGCGCCACCACCAAATTTGTTTGCTATTTCTTGATATGTGTAACCTGTTTCTCAAAAGATAATTGCTTTGGGTCTCTTTCCTGGCGACCAGTCAACACATTTTGTGTTTGCCATTTTCGTTGAATAGACACTGATACGCTCCTCTCCGACAATTAAACAATATCACCTTAGTAATAACTACCTGAAGTCACTTATAAACATTGAAAGTCGCACGAAACTACTAAATGCTTCCAATTGGGTCGTTGACTGAATAGCAAAACCATGGACGTATAAACATAGATGGACACAGCAATAAGATACCTTTAACACACAATGTTTTGAAGCTTCGATAGAATGTGATGCTTCCACAATGAACATAAGCGTGCTTGAATTTGAAAAAAACGAGAGTTTAACTATTAACAAATCACGTCTTTATAGAAAAATTAAAATACAATTTTATTTTGCTTTAAAATTAATACAATAAAATATAGTTGAATTCAAGTTAATTTTTAATAGGTATCAAAATAATGCTACAATAAAAAATCTTTATGTTTTCTCCTAAATTTGCTACCAAAATAGTTTGATCGTGAATATTATTTGGAAACCTACATAGAAAAATAAATGAGTTTTATTCATTTCACTAATTTATTTGCATCCATGAGAAATATTAAATTAAAAAGGTACTAAATAGATCTTTTTTAATCAGATGATGTCTACTTACAATTTTAAAAATGTCTACTAATTTCATGAACTTATATCTTATTTAATACATTAATTAAACATGAATAAACCCAATGGTACGCCTATTAAAAATGTAAACAAACACACTTCCTCATTTCCTCATCTTAAATAATGTAAATTTTATGTACTTACAATTCGTTTATTTTTATTTCACTTTTCACAAATATCACTCAAAATACAGCCAAAATATCGAAAAAACAACTTTTACTAAAAAGTAAACAAACATGGAACAGCATTTGAAGTTTGACGTAGATCCATAAGACAGAGAAATGTAAACAACCGGTTGCCATTTATAAATAGTTTTTCAGTGCTTCTACATATAAAAATAATTGATTGATATATAAATTATACGTTATTATTAAATGATAATGCACACTATGTGCACACTTTATATTTTGATTACAATTAAATATATTAATCTAACCAATAAATTATTATTTTGGTTTGATAGCACCTGTAGAGTATAAAAATACGGAGTAATATTTTCAGCGACTCGCGAATAAGAAATTTTAAAAACAAAACGTGACAATAGTTGAAGGTGCTGAGAATGTGACATATTCAAATAATTTTGACTTCACAATTTTATGTAAATAACTGAGTCCATCTGTGTTTATACGTCCACGAGCAAAACCCTGACGCAATACAAAATAGCCAATGTTGCCATTCACTATATCTTGAACTTTCGACGTTTCGCTTTAATTTGTTTCCATATTTTATTAAATAATTATGTTAACATATATATATATATATATATATATATATAATATATATATATATATATATATATATTATATATATATATATATATATATATATATATATATATTATATATATATATATATATATATATAGGGTGAGAAATACATAAAAATATTTAAACAGAAATATAAAATAATAAACTAAAATAGTAATTGTACTGATAAACTATATAAATCACGATCATAAGGCGAATGTTGCTGGAAAAAACTATAATTTTTGTAAAGTTTCCAGAATTTTGGCCACCAGTGTACTTACATACAAGATCAAAATAATTCCCGGAAGCTACAGAAAAATATACGGATAGAGTCTAACAAACGGCAACGTGCAGCAAGAGTGGACATGGAAAAATAAAATATTACGGGAATCTAAAGAAGATCTATTTTAGGAATAAAAATAATACAAGAAACGGACTGCGGGTCAATGATAACAAATAAAGAAGTAATATATGCATTAAAAAATAGAGAAAAAACGGGAAAATGCCAATGTGTAACGATAAGACTACGAAGGAGAATTGAAATACTATTATAAAAATAATACCTCACACAACCATGGGAGCTTATCGTCTATGCTTTCGCTTGGCTCAGTCTCTCATGTCTGAATTCATCTTGTATTAAATTATGAAATAAATCATGAACCCTTAGCAAATAAAACAATTATTTACCTAATTATATTTATTAAAAATAAAAAAACAATATTTAAGTAGCAAAAAACAACCTTGCCAATGCTTTACAGTAAATAAATTTGAAAGATACTTATTGTATCGATCGGCTGCTTGCTACTAAATATCTTTGGCCTCCCAATTAGGTAGTTAGGTCCTCCTGACAGCTGCAGTTAGGTTCTCCAGAGCATGTTATTCCATATTATTCTATAACTTTATAAGGTTAAGATATATCCCATAAAGTCTAAAATAAAGTGTTTTAATAAACCCAATAAAATATTCAATACAGCCAATAAACTAGAACAATAAAACATCCTGTATTAGAGAAACATCAAAGGGGTTTTTACTTTCTTGTCATTTTACAAAATTACAATGAAATAAATAGCAAATGACAAGGATAAAATGAAATAGAATTACTATTGAACTTAGTTGAATTCTGTTGGATTACTACATACATATAATTGAAAAACATGGCTTAAAAGAAGTGAGGTTATGAATATTGAAAATGCTGTCAAAATTATAGAATATAGATTACAATGAAAGTATTCACCCCAAGAGAAAGAGATGATAACAATTTTTTCGATCTCAAAAATTATCAGCCCTGGCCCATATGTACTTTTTGCGATTATCGTGATAATTTTTGTGTTTTATACAAATAAAGAAATCGGTCTATGATACTTCAGTTTTCTTTAACATCAAATATTTAAAGATGAATTTTACTTCGGGTGTAAAATATTTACACCATTCGGAAGTTAAATACAAGTTAGTTAATTGTTCGACATAGGTCACTACAAAATGTAATCACTGTTTATTTCAGCTGGTTGTTAGCTCAGAAGATTTCAACATCCGTATATTTGATAAGGATCGAATGTTGGCAGAACACGTAGAGACAGAGGTGGTGACGAATTTATTGGCTTTACCAGAGAATAGATTCGCTTATTCGGTATCGAATGGCACTGTAGGCGTTTACGAGCAAGAAGATACGATTATGGCGGGTCAAAGTAAGTAATTTAGATGATTGAATAATATAAATCCCAATTATAGAAATCATAAACAAGTATTAGAAAAGGTGGACAATCTAAAAACAGGGTATTTTCAGTTTTATTATTGAGGGCCAAGCAAAATACTTTCAAAAGAAAAAATTTACACAAACGGATATGAAAAATTGAATTGAACAATAATTTTAACTCTAGTTCTTCATTTATTATCTATAAATCGTTTTTTTTTTTAATTTTTGCGAACAAAAATGCTTGTAGACCTTTTGGCGTAAGTCTGTCCGGCATTGTCAGATAATATAAAGATTGCCATGATGATGGCCAACATTCGTAACGGATAGGCACATCAAGAAGAAGAAGACCAGTTACGACTTTTGTCTCGGTTAACCAAGGGGCTCGGATAATCGCGAGTCTACCGTATTTGCAATTGGCATGTTTTGTAGTGAGGAAATGAACTAATCTTGCTCCCCTGTCATTTGTATCACCGCCTCCATACTTTCCCACGACTCGTTCCTTGTCGTTTCTCTTTCTTTAGATATTCATAGATATATCTTCTATTAAATCTGAGAGTGCCTTTTTACAACGCTCTTGGTCTGTAAACCACGCAAGGATTATTTGGAAATCTGTCCACAAATTTATTGCGCCAGAAGTTAAAAATTCAAAAACTTATTATGTATAACTATCTTATCTAACTGTCTTAAATGTCTTATCTAACTTATTATCCATAAATCGTTTTTTTTTAATTTTTGCGAACAAAAATGCTTGTAGACCTTTTGGCGTAAGTCTGTCCGCCATTGTCGATACTTTGAGCTATAGGATAAAACTGGTATAATGATGAAACATTTACATAATATGTGATTTTACTGCTAAAACAGTCAAGTAAAGCGGCGCGGCGGCAAGAAATAAAGTATTTTTTCTAGTCTTCAGTCTAAATTCACAATTCACCCTGTGTTATTTTTAAACAATGGGAGAAGACACTCTTTCTGAGGCTTGATTATTCCTCATAGGGGCCTCCATACGAAGTAGAAGTTTGTAGGGGAAATATGTCTGAGACGGCATACTGGGTAAGATAGATTCTTCTTAGATTTTTAATATTTATGGCATCGCTTTAGGCTACTTAGGTAAGGAAAACCCGTGATATTTCTTCTGTGAGTATCATTACCTCGCTGTAGAAACGCATTTATATATTAGTGATGAATAAAAATCTAATTTTAAAATTAAATAATGAGGTCTTTTCTACTAAACTAAATAATGAGGTAAATAAATACGTTTAGTGGGATCGGTATATTTAGTAGCAGGCTAGTTATAATATTTAGATGTTCTTGTTCGTATAATATATATATATATATATATATATATATATATATATTACAGGATCCAACTTGTAAATACAATTCATTTTGGAAACCGCTATTGCCTTATTCCCGTTCTCCTTCGCCAATCCTTCATTCCATGAGAGTCGATGTCTACCTCCTTTTCGTTTTCCAGGGGGCTTCCATTTGTGAAGTTTTTGGAGCAACGTTTGTCAGGCATTCTCAATAGGTGTGCAAAACCATTTTAAACCTCTTCTTTCTATTCTGTCAATAACCGTTTCTGTAGCATTCATGTTATTTCTTATAGATTTGTTGGTCTTCCTTTCCAGCCTAGCACTTCTTCTCAAATAATCCATTTCAACTGCCAACAATCTTCTCTTCAGGTCTGCATTAATTGGCCTATACTTCAGAGCCATAACAAAGAACTGATTCAACTATGGTTGGCCCTATTCTTTTCTGTCCTTTTGAAAATGTTGCCATCCCACCATAAGGACTTTAGACATCCTTACAATTTCACGTCCCTAATTATTTTCGGTGTTTAATTTCAGTTCTCCCAAGCCGTTCTTATCAATGAGTGCACCTAAATATGTAAAATTTTCCACTTGTTTGATTTCCACGTCGTCGTCTATCAAACACTGCAAACCTTGCATCTGAATTGATAACTGAATATTCTGTTTTATTCATGCTGACTTGTAACACCCATTTTACATATTCTCTGTATAGATGCTTTATTCATAAATTCTAGAGCATAAGAATCTTGAGCTACGACGACTTGGTCATCCGCAAAGTTCAGGGGACAACAGTTACGCCATCTCTTATGATGATTCTCATTCCCTGGAAACGGTTTATTCCAATTTTGGAGGGCTGCCTTAATATATAAATTAAACAGTAAGGGTGACATACTGCATCCTTCTCTTGGTCCTTTAGTTACTTTTATTGACTCTCATAGTATATTTCCGATTTTTGGGTAAGTAGTGTAGTACTTCTGTGATTACTCCTAAAAGGTATGCCAAGTTGTTGTAAAGCTTGCCACAATTTAAGTCTTGAATCTGTATCATACGCCTTTTCTAGGTCGATGAAGGCTAGATGTACCATCCGCTATTCTTTTTTCCATTAATTGTTGAAGTATAAACAAGTTGTTAGTGCAAGATCTATCAGGCGTAAATCCACTTTGGTATTAGCTAATTAGATGTCCTACATCATCTTGTATTTTTCCATTTATTATCTTTCCAAACAATCTGTCGAAAGTAGATACGACACTTATTCCTCTGTAGCAAATAGGATCTTTTCGATTACCCTTTTTAAAGATGGACACTTGGTGAGGGTGTTCCATTCACATGGTACTTTAAATTGTTTGCAGCATTGATTCATTAGAAAAGTTATTCGTTCTCTTAGGAGTGGACCTTCTGCTTTAAGTAACTCTACAGCTCTTGTTCCCATAATAGTTTTAAGTATTTATATTAAAATATCTCACATGAGATATTTTAATATAAATATGGGTATTAATTGCCGGCCAGATATGGCATAGAATGCCATTTCACTTGGATCTCAGCTCAAACTTCTGTATTCATAATTATTCGTTAATTTTGGGTGGGCGTTTAGCATAAAAGACATACAGTATTCTATCTACGACTCTTAAACAGCGTGCTTCCAAGGATGAGGAATAGGAAAAGGCTATATGGGCAGACATAAAGCTACGATTAGTCAAGATTGGAAACAAGAAATTCTTGAATATCTTAATGATTTAGAAAGCAGGTTTTTTGGTAAGACAATAGTTGCAGTCAAAAGCTTGGCTTACGAAGTAGCAGAGACAAAAAGGATCCCTCATAGATTTTCGCATCAAACCAAAATGACAGGCTGGGATTGGTTAAGAGGGTTTAGGGAGAGAAATCCCTTAATTTTCCTAAGAGTACCTGAATCAATGTCAATTGCAAGTGCAAGGACTTTTAATAAAGCACAAATTCGATTATACTTCGAAAAATAACAAATGTAATAAGAGATAATAATTTTGAACCACATAAAATATGGAACATAAACAGATCGAGGTTATTTACTATCCCTGTGCAAAACGGTAAGATATTTGCTACTAAAGGAAGAAACAAGTCAGAAGTTTTGTCAAGCATAGAACGAGATCAATATTTAACAGTGTGTTAATGTAAACATAGCAAGTGAGGGAAGAATAGAAAAAATAAAGGGCTAAGTAGCTTAGAAAAGATAATAATTATTCGAGATAATTATTATATATTCCAAATCAAATAAGGGATAATTAATACAGTAAAGTTTGCATTTTAAATCACACAAAGAAATTGACCTAGTTATTGCATTGTTTGATAATTGTTTAAAACGTAGAAAAAGCACGTCAAACAGAAACTGTTATTGTAATGCAATATAGGACCTACAATTCAGCGAAAACGCAACCTTGGACTACAACCGGTCAATGAGGACATCAGTTGATAAAAACCAAACTAAGGAGGCCAAGCAGTCAGTAATAGCGAGGCGTCAGTAATAACGAGTCAGTCAGTAATAGCGGGCCACCGTGACTGGCCGCTCAGGCAGTATTGCCGGCATCGGGCAGTCGGTATTTTCTCCGGGGAGTGCTTAACACCCGGCATAGTATCTCGTGTAGTCCGGTTATTGGTGGTAACTCGTAAGTTCGTAACACAGGAGGAGACCCCTCAAACTGACCGAGCTCCAGAGGACCGAAGACGTGTCGTGGTTGAAAGCCTAAATACACATAAGGTAACCGATTTCTATATACTAACCTGAGTAATTATAATAGTACAACTGTCAACTCTTCACTCTCTCACTCCTCGTCTCCCGACGCGCCGAATGACTTGTTAACGATTGTATTTGTAACTTCAGGGTAAATTCAATATATTGTAGACTCTAAATTGGTTTTTTTAATGTTCCTTTCGTCCGACTCATTAGAGACTAGGAGAATACAAGATTCTGCTTATGCATATCTCCGGCTTCAAAAGTAAGCCCATAACCTCTGCTCTTTACAGGACCTGAGACCTAGGAGTCCTTACCCCTATCCCGAAAATCCCTTATCTTTCTCGTAAATCCACGAAGACGAACCAGTCAGTTCGGACCAGTGGGACCAGTAAGCCTTGCAGCCGCTCGCAGGGTTAGCATCCCTTGAGGATCTATAAAGTATTTCAGTGGTGACAACGTCGCCGCACTCTTTGTGTATTACAAGTGGTATTTTGTATGAATGCTGTCGTGACTTTCATACCACCAGGATTAATTTTCCACAGGAAATCGAAAAAAATCGGTGGATGAATTCTAAAGTTTTCATTCAATGGACGAAACGTTTCGTCAAGTTTGTAAGACTAACTGAACAAAAGTTTTATAATTTCTAGATGGACACGATAGTCATAAAGATCTTAAAGTGATGGAATATGCGAAATCTAATGGTTTTATATTATTTTGCTTTCCGCCTCATTGCACTCACAGGGTGCTTGATAGTGCTTGATATGCTTTTATGGACCTTTAAACACTTATTGAAACCAACCAAGGTTGTATTTCAACAAAATATGTCCACTAAATGCAGAGAAAAAATCAAGTGATGATTCTTTGCATAACAAAGATGTTTCCTAACTTGATAAGTATAGATATGCCAGGTCAACCTTCCAGCTGCTAGTTAGACTAATCGCAAGACTCAAGAGTAAATCACTAAAACAGAAATCAAGG